TTAGTTTATATAATCGGATTACTTTTAGATTACTTTTAGATTACTTGTAACCTGTTTATCACATTACACATTTTAGGTAATAATTATGATCTTACTGCTTTTGGATTACTTTTAGATGACTTTTAGCCTTTATCTTTTTTTTTTTTTTGTATTGTATTGTATTCAGTGGTGGAAACAAGCTTCCATAGATTACCAGTGGGGAAAATACTTCTGACACCAAGCCTGCTGGAAAAGTGGTCTGGCAATGTTTATTGTTGCATTCTGCATACTTCCCATATGTTTTGAAATAGGCAAAGCGTTCTCATCCCAAAGCGCCATATAAGACGCTTTTGCAAAAGCGTAAATATCCAACGCACATGGCACCCTTTAACGTCTAATGAGACGCTTCGGTTAATGGTTAAGTTTAGGTATGGTGTAGGGTAAGGGTTAGACCACTAGGGGGCGCCTTCTGCCCAAATATATCTGCGTCTCATTTCACGTTAAAGGGTGCCATGTGCGTTGGATATTTACGCTTTTGCAAAAGCGTCTTATATGGCGCTTTGGGATGAGAACGGGCTCAAATAGGTAATACAGTATATTGCATAGTAAGCAGTGCACTGGCATTCCAATATGTAAGAAAAATTTGCCATTTTTGATGTCGTTCTAGTGTCATTTTCCATTCCCCATTTCCTCATTATCCCTGGGGATGATGGGTCAGATATCCTAGATCTGTGGAGCTGCATTAAACTTCTTTGAATCCAGCGCTGTGATCTTTCTTTAGACCACATGCTGTTTCAGAGCACTGATGAGTGGGAAACGCATGATAAGACCACACTAATTTTCCTTGTGTCTTATCTCACAAGGACTCTGCGGTGGATTCGGCTCATTGCTGTTACACGATACCAAACAGCTCGTGTCCACATTTGATCTCTCTACTACATGTATGTAAGTGTGTGCGTCTTTAATAAAACTGTAAGCAGAACTGAAGCCTCCTTTTACGGCTTTCACAAGATTTCCTAATAGAGTCTTTAGGTTCAGTTGATGCTTAATTAGTTGCTTGTCATGTAACTGATGCTTTTTATTCACACAGTGATTTTAAAACTTCACTGACTAATGCACCAGTTCCTCTGAAGACATCTGCGGTCTTCCTCAAATGCACAATGATTCAGGAAAGGAAATGTAACGGAGGGTTCGAGGCCCACTCGGAGCGGGTCGAGTGGGACCCGGGTGTAGGGGTTACAGAAACATATACACGAGATATGAGAGAAGTTTGCCATCAAAATCAAGAGATCTTAATCTGAAATCATCAAATATACATAAATTCCCAATTACATGACAAACATAGTTAGTAACTATAGCTTGGCATTATAATCCATTACACATTTAAGGTAATATAATCCGTCTACTTTTGGATTACTTTTAGATTACTTTTAACCTGTTTATCATATTACACATTTTAGGTAATATAATAGGACTATTTTTGGATTACTTTTAAGCTGGTAATTCCATTACATATTAGGTAATAATCTGACTACTTTTGGATTACTTTTAGATTTAACTTGTTTATCACATTACACATTTTAGGTAATATAATCTGACTACTTTTGGATTACTTTTTTAAGATTACTTTTAACCTGTTTATCAAAGTACACATGGTAATATAATCTGACTACTTTTGGGTTACTTTTAGATTACTTTCAACCTGCTTATCCCATTACATATTTTAGGTTATATAATCTGATTACTTTTGGATTACTTTTAGATTACTTTTAACCTGTTTATCACTGTACACATTTTAGGTAATATAATCTGACTACTTTTAGATTACTTTTAACCTGTTTATCCCATTACATATTAGGTAATAATCTGACCACTTTTGGATTACTTTTAGATTACTTTTAACTTGTTTATCACATTACACATTTTAGGTAATATAATCTGACTACTTTTGGATTACTTTTTTAAGATTACTTTTAACCTGTTTATCAAAGTACACATTTTAGGTAATATAATCTGACTACTTTTGGGTTACTTTTAGATTACTTTCAACCTGTTTATCCCATTACATATTTTAGTTTATATAATCTGGATTACTTTTGGATTACTTTTAGATTACTTTTAACCTGTTTATCACTGTACACATTTTAGGTTATATAATCTGATTACTTTTGGATTACTTTTAACCTGTTTATCACATAACACATTTTAGGTAATATGATCTGACTACTTTTGGATTACTTTTTTAAGATTACTTTTAACCTGTTTATCAAAGTACACATTTTAAGTTAATATAATCTGACTACTTTTGGGTTACTTTTAGATTACTTTCAACCTGCTTATCCCATTACATATTTTAGGTTTTATAATCTGATTACTTTTGGATTACTTTAAGATTACTTTTTGATTACTTTTAACCTGTTTATCACTGTACACATTTTAGGTAATATAATCTGACTACTTTTAGATTACTTTTAACCTGGGTTTTGTGAATTTAACTAAAAACTAATAATTAAATTGTAATATGTAACATTAAAATAATAAAAAATGAGTTTGTAGACAAAAGCTTTCTAAAGACAGTAATACATGGTTAAATGGCACACTAAGTGAAAATGTTAGTCAGATTTGAATCAATGTGCAATGTTGAGAAAACGCTTCTTGAAAGTGAAATGATTTCTGTAAATCCACTGGTCAAATTTTTTGTGGCCTCTCGTTTTTTATATGTAAATTTAGCCACCTGACTGTCTGGTCTGTGTGGGCAAGTCAACACCGTTGCATTTGGGGGGTCTGATCTTCTCAATTTTAGTTTGCAAAATGTAACTAACACTGGTCAATTATGAGTGGAATTAAATGATGTGCACTAAATTATATTTTAATATAGGCTAGCACTCATTGCTTTAATTAGAAGTTATATCGCCAACATGAGTGGAGCTTGAAATCAGCAATTCACAGTTTATCAATCAAGCGATAATAATCCATGCTGAAATGTTTACAGTCCAGTGGTGTGTGCAGATCTATAGGAGGTCCCGTGTCGGAACAGCTTGTGTGGACGCCCCGTCTTCACAGCTGAATATTCCTCTGTGATTAATTACGTCTTTTCTGAGAGCTGAAATCTCTGCCTCATAATTCCTACGCCAATTTCAGCGCTGACGTTACCTGTCAGGGAAAGTTTTTTCTTTCTTTCTTTGCTGAGGTCGCAGTTCTGAGGTGGGAGCAGTTAAAATCTAATGGACAATCTGTCCTCCCACTGGGCATCTGTCATACTCTTACATGCTGATTGACAGAATACAGCACTCGTCTGCAAACCTCCGAACCAAAGAGCTCATAAATCCAGACAGGTTCCTCAAACTCTTCCTGTTTTAACACTCTCTGCAAATTACTTCCTCACTTTACTTTTGAGAGACATGAAAGCCCTATTATTTGAAAGACTTTCTATTACTGGCTATATGGATTTGTAAAAATGTACATTTCAAGAAAATCATGTTTTAGTATTCACATACTAAAACATACCATCACGTTTTAGTATTTTTAAGTTTTAGTGATATATAATAGTTAATAATTTCTAGAAGATCACGGAAGGACTCTTGTTTCATGTAGATGGAAAGACAGACAGAGATTCTTCCTTTTACAATCTGCTACTAACAGCATGTGAACTATTATCCTATAATTGAAAGGTTCTGTCACTCCTTTAGACATCAAAAATGCAAGATCTAAAATTCATCTTAAGGTTCTTCTCATAACGTTCTTACCTTTGAAAATATTGCTGTCCAAAACATCTATGTTTGAGACTCATCCCAATAACGATGAGTTAGGGTTTCATAATCTTTCCTTGAACTTTCTGACTTCTTAAGTCTTTAATTCTTCTGTTATCGCATAAAATCCAATCTAAGCTGAAGTTCTATGTACAGCATATTGAACAAGTTGAGAATCAGATTTCATGATGTGCCAAATTGCCTACTGTTTCTTCGCACAGGAACGACATTTCAGATTTTAGGAATTGTAAAAGGCTGAGGGTTAGGGGTTTCACAACACTTTTAACAATCTATCATTTTGATTTTATGGGTTGTTAACTGGTAGAATGAATATCCTGAAAACTGCCAGAAAATGCTCCATTCATCCTTCATCACAGGATAAAAAGAAAATAAAAATTATATATTTTTATATAATGAAAGTGTTGCCAATTCTGGCAATGTAGCTAACACGTTTCACATTTTTTGAGCCACTTTACATGTCAGTCCGTGTCTGGTACTTGAAATAAACTGCAGACCTAGGCTATGACACCATGTTGTTTACCTACTGTAGTATTTTGATACCTCCTACTCAGTTTACATATTTTACAGGCATCCGGGATTTATAGTGTCAAAACATATTGGATAATTAGAACAATGTTAATTCTTAAATTTCACAGCTGTTATATGTTAGATCAATGTACAAAATCCGAGTGTTTGTTTGGTTATTTTAGTCCATGCCTCTGATATCCGCGCGCTCGCAAAATTCAAAAGTTAACGGTCATATCGGCCATCTTAGTTTAGAGAGCTCTTATTTCTTGAAGAAGAAAAAAATACATTCTCTTGTTCGTAAGAGAATAATAGAGACGCAGACAAACTCCCGCCCTTTCACTGCCTGCAATGTCGTATAGAGAACAAAGTAATGTAAGCAAAGTACAGTTCTAAGTAACATGTTTTTCTCACAGGAATGTTGGTCCACCAACATGTCTAGTGTGTGTTTAAAGGCTGTCCATGACACTAATGCAGTTGTTGAGAAGTGTAGGTTGTTAAAGAACGCCTGAAGGAATGAGCAGGCGTGCGTTTACCCGAGACGGGTTTGTAATTACCTGACTCGCTGTTGACGCTTACAAGTACACCGAGAGAAAGAGGGAGAGAGAGAGAGGGCGGGTCAGAGGCAGAGCGGAGGAGAATCTCTCTCTCTCTCTCTCTCTCTCTCTCTCTCTCTCTCTCTCTCTCTCTCTCTCTCTCTCTCTCTCTCTCTCTCTCTCTCTCTCTCTCTCTCTTCCTCTTCCTCAGCTCTGTTCGGTTCGGAGACGCAGTGACGGACATCCCGGAGTCGAGCGCACCTAACGCGTAAGTTCTGCTCATTTTTTGCTGAGTTAAATCCACTTTTTAGCTTCTTCATGACTGTATGTGGAACGTCGGAGGTAACATGAGGAGATTGTGTTTTAAAATGTGAATATTTATTCGGTTTAATTTACTGTAAAAGTGAAAACGCGTCTAACCGATCTGGCTTTAAAAAATGACTTTTGTTGGAGACACCCTGGGTAGTCAGGTCGATTCGATCTTGTTCAATAATTATTTTAAAACCTGTTAATTTGGATGTTACCACATGTAGCACGTGCAGGTTTACTTTACGGGAATCTGTGTAAATGGGAACGGGAAATGAATTAAGTTTGTTTCCTTTTCCACAGTAAATTATTCATTTTATTGTATGTTAATATCGTAATGTGTTTAATTAATTTACCTTTAAATGTATTTATTCTTATATATTTATGTGCGTAAACTCTGAAGCTTTGTTTAGATATTTTTTTACAATAATTATATCTTTTATGCAGCATATGATGGCATAGATTCATAGCATTGTAAGCGTTGACAGTCTTCATGTGTTAAAACATGATTTTTTTTCTGTCAAGAACATAACTGAAGTGATATATGTGCTGTCCATGGTGCTGAAATGTTTGTAGACTGCAGTGATTTTCAACCTTGGGTCCTGAAGACCCTCGTATGTCCCCCGTATTTATCACACCTGCTTCAGATCTCCAACTGAACTAAGTATGATCGGTTAAGAGAGATATGTCAGAGCCAGTATTGAAAACCACTGCTGTAGTGTTTCAGACATTACCTGAGAAGGAAAACTGTGCCAAATCGTGTTTTGTTAATTGTTTTCCGTCTCACATTTCTTTTTCAGATGAAGATAATGTTTGAGTAAGTTTGAGAACCCATTCACTCAAGGTGAAATGTGCATTGCGCAGTTGTTGTCTTGACGCACTCATGCCTTAAAGAATGAGAGTCTTGAGGGAGGAGGACTGTTGAAACGATGCCACGCGGAGATGGAGAATGGAGGACCCGCAAAAGTGCGTGACAGGCAGGTCAGGGTCGGTTTGAAGACATCATAAAACGAGGCGAAACGCACATCACCACCTGAAGCCATGGGGATACGACATCTCCTGCTTCTGTTGGTCTATCTAGACCCGTTGAGCGTCCTGAGCGCATCCACGACCAAGAGGAGCAAACCCCCTGCAAAGAGACCCCCGAAATTGAAGGAGGTCAACAGCACCGCTGCTCCAACGGTGGCTCCCCGACGGACCACGCAAGTCCAGGCGCCCATCATCGGTGATCACGACATCTGTCTAGGGTACTACGACGTAAGCGGACAGTTCGACAAAGAGTTCGCCTGCAACAACACCGACCACAGGTACTGTTGCGGGAGCTGCTTCCTTCGCTTCTGCTGCCCCGTGAAAGCCAAGCGAGTGGATCAGAGAGTCTGCACCAACTACAACACGCCCGACTGGATCAAAACACAGCCGCCCTCACCGGCACCCACAGGGGACACGTATGACCCCGCGCTGGACCAGACCAACACCACCGTCTACATCACCTGCGGGGTCATCACGCTCATTATTATCCTGGGGATTTCTGCCAAAGTGGCCTATGATAAAGCCACCAGACCGCCTCAAGAGATGAACGTCCACAGGTAAGTCCGAGAAAACTCTTTGGAAATTGACTTTGGGTTCAAGCACCACTAGAAATAAGTATTGAAGGTTAATGGTTCCATGAATCTTCAACCTCAATGAAACCAACACAGTCTCATCCCAAAAAAGTCATATATATCTGACGTCTTTTGACCATACGTCAATATCCGCCTTTTTAGGGCCCCCTTAAACGTCGGTAGATGGCGATCCCGGGCCGTCATACAACTGACGCTTTACCTTTAACGTCAGTTAGGTGACGGGGTAGGTTTAGGTCTGGGGTAGAGTTAGGATCCCATAACCTCATCTACCGACGTTTAAGGGGGCTCTAAAAAGGCGAATATTGACGTATGGTCAAAAGACGTCCCAAAACGTCAGTTATATGACGTCTTGGGATGAGACCGGGTTGATGAAACCTTTCAATTCCTTCTTCTTTATAGTGAAAACAAAGCTTCTTAAGGTGTGTTATACACCAACACAGTTTAAAGAGCACTGACTACATATCGTAATATGTCATTTATAGTGCATGAGACTGAATGAAACACATCTCAGTTGGAGCATACAGTACATAAAGTAGACCGTGACTGAAAGCTTTGCGGTCTCAAATTAAGCGCTGGGTTCTGGGCTAAGATGGAATATTAATAGTTAATTGCATACTGTATTAAATCTAGGACTCATCTGTGTCTAGGAGGGATTGATTCTGGATTTCATTAGTCTTCTGCTGAGATGGAGGTCAACTGGAAAGCGTCGTAGTACTAGCAGAACTAGGTCTTCGTGGTGCAGTTTGTCAATAAGACAGATTTATAGTCCTGTGGTTCGTCATTGTCGAAAAGGAGGAGAAATTTCAAAGAGCAAGGTCAAATTCTGTTCTATGTTTTATCTGAATTGTTTATTTATTAGATTTATGTCAGACAGTGTTAACCGAGAACAATGAATTCTCATATTAATAATGAAGCAACACAGACATAGCTGTTTGCCTGAAGTCACTCCTGTGCAGAGCTGTGGAGAGTATTGAAGATGGTACATTGCTCTATTCTTATCGAACTGATACATAGTACCAAATATGAGTCAAGCTCAGACAGTCGGATAAGAGTTTGACTGGTGCTCACAATGAGGCTTATTGGATTTGTGAAGACAGATTGGCATTCTCTACAGCTGCTTGACACTTGTGAGCAGCATACTTAAAATGAGCAGTCTGTTGTTATTTACTCATGTCTTTCCAAACCTGGAAATATATAAATTTTTTTGTTATTATTTAGAATTTTAAGTGATATATACATATACATACACTCACCTGTTCAATTTCTCATTAATGCAGTTATCGAATCAACCAATCACACGGCAGTTGCTTCAATGCATTTAGGGGTGTGGTTCTGGTCAAGACAATCTCCTGAACTCCAAACTGAATGTCAGAATGGGAAAGAAAGGGGATTTAAGCAATTTTGAGCGTGGCATGGTTGTTGGTGTCTGAGTATTTCACAATCTGCTCAGTTACTGGGATTTTCACACACAACCATTTCTAGGGTTTACAAAGAATGGTGTGAAAAGGGAAAAACATCCAGTATGCGGCAGTCCTGTGGCCGAAAATGCCTTGTTGATGCGAGAGGTCAGAGGAGAATGGGCCGACTGATTCAAGCTGATAGAAGAGACACTTTGACTGAAATAACCACTCGTTACAACCGAGGTATTCAGCAAAGCATTTGTGAAGCCACAACACACACAACCTTGAGGCGGATGGGAAACAACAGCAGAAGACCCCACCGGGTACCACTCATCTCCACTACAAATAGGAAAAAGAGGCTACAATTTGCAAGAGCTCACCAAAATTGGACAGTTGAAGACTGGAAAAATGTTACTTGGTCTGATGAGTCCCGATTTCTGTTGAGATATTCAGAATTTGGCGTAAACAGAATGAGAAGATGGATCCATCATGCCTTGTTCCCACTGTGCAGGCTGGTGGTGGTGGTGTAATGGTGTGGGGGATGTTTTCTTGGCACACTTTAGGCCCCTTAGTGCCAATTGGGCATCGTTTAAATGCCACGGCCAACCTGAGCATTGTTTCTGACCATGTCCATCCCTTTATGGCCACCATGTCCCCATCCTCTGATGGCTACTTCCAGCAGGATAATGCACCATGTCGCAAAGCTGGAATCATTTCAAATTGGTATCTTGAACATGACAATGAGTTGACTGTACTAAAATGGCCGCCACAGTCACCAGATCTCAACCCAGTAGAGCATCTTTGGGATGTGGTGGAACGGGAGCTTCATCCCACAAATCTCCATCAACTGCGAGATGCTATCCTATCAATATGGGCCAACATTTCTAAAGAATGCTTTCAGCACCTTGTTGAATCAATGCCAAGGAGAATTAAGGCAGATCTGAAGGAGAAAGGGGGTCAAACACATTATTAGTATGGAGTTCCTAATAATCCTTTAGGTAATTGTGTATGTAGTTCCTTCCTGTCCTCAAACAAGGGCGCAGGCTGATCGGCCCTGAAAGCAATCACATCATCACCACATGGCACAATAGGCCTGTGCTGAATTTGTACAACTCTTAGAAACATTTTATTTATTTTTTTTTACTCAAAATATAACTTAATTGAACTCTGGGGTGAATTACAACCTGAAATTGTCTTAAAGGAGAACTCCGGCGAACAATGAACCTTTGGTCTAATAAAACATCGGTACCTAGTCAATCGTTATCTGATATTTGTTTTCATGATAATCGAATGTAAAGAGTTTTATCTCTAAAAACTGTTTAGCGTATAATGCTAGTAATGGGGGCATTGACTAAGTAAAAAGAAATCGCTATTTTATACCACTAACAAGGCTCAAAATAGCCCCACACTAACGCAGTAACATAATGAGGGTCCATACATGCAAAACGAAGCATTGAGAACTTTGTAAGTGTACAGACCGTTTAATAAGAAGATACTTTATGAAGACAGTTCACTTCGCGTATACAGACAGGAGCCATCTTAAAAAATAGTCTCGATAAGTCGATCCCCGAACGCCGTTCATACAGTTCAGAAGTTCGTTGAACTTCATACAGTTCAGATCACTCAGCACGTCGTTCGGGGATCGACTTATCGAGACTATTTTTTAAGATGGCTCCTGTCTGTATACGCGAAGTGAACTGTCTTCATAAAGTATCTTCTTATTAAACGGTCTGTACACTTACAAAGTTCTCAATGCTTCGTTTTGCATGTATGGACCCTCATTATGTTACTGCGTTAGTGTGGGGCTATTTTGAGCCTTGTTAGTGGTATAAAATAGCGATTTCTTTTTACTTAGTCAATGCCCCCATTACTAGCATTATACGCTAAACAGTTTTTAGAGATAAAACTCTTTACATTCGATTATCATGAAAACAAATTTTAGAGAACGGTTGACTATGTACCGATGTTTTATTAGACCAAAGGTTCATTGTTCGCCGGAGTTCTCCTTTAATGAGACTCACAACTTAAATTTGCTTACTTTAATTTTACTTTACTCTAGTTTTTCTTTAAAGTGTAGTCAATCATTGTACTGTATCCTTCAAAACTTGTCACCAAAATGACATATTTTCCTTGAAAAAAAAATGTCTTCATCCCATCTCAGATCAGTCTCGTTCTCCGTCATTACTCGACAAACCGTCCCTGCTGCTCACAGTGCCTCATAGAGACAACACGTTTCGCTCAAGTATTACCGAATGTTCCAGGACATTTGTTTTAACCAGCACCATTTGAAACTGCTCTGCTTCGTTTACACTGTGTGTGTGTGTGTGTGGAGGCTGGTGATTTGCAGCAAAAATACAGTTAAATATATGATGAGTGTGTGTTTACCCAGCAGCTTAGATGTGTAGTAAAACAGCTCAGGGCTGGAAAGCTTTTGATGTAGTGTGTGTTTTTTAGTGTGTTTGAAGAACAAGCAAATGAAATGCGGGTTCTCTGAGCAGAACGTCTCTGTAGGACTCGGTCAATGAGGGACGTACAAGATCTGTCTCTCGTCTCTGGCTGGTTCATTAATGAATTGATCACAAAAATATGGAGTTCATGTAGCTATAAAAGCTATAAAGGGCAGGTTGTGGTTTGACCTCATAATTTGTACTGTTATGAGACTGGTGATATACAGTAGTGATGGCAAAAGTATTCGAATGACCTCATTCTGGGTAAAAGATGGATTAGCTCAAATGGATAATGGGTTTTAATTCGAGACAACTTCGACTCTTTTGTGTTGAGAGAGTCCAACTGCTATTGTGTTATATAATTATATTTTCCCCAAGCTTTTGGGTGAATATTACAAATGCGATTCTCAACTTTCGTTATTTTAATGCCAACATCAACGTGAGATATTATTTTAACTGTAATCTAATGTATAAAATAAATTGTTTGCATCGTAGAATTTGTTAGAAACTAAACTAGAGTACATTTAGTTGTAATTTTAATAAAGTATTAGTGCTGGGCAACGGTTAATGGGGATTTATATATTAAATATTTATATTTAGATATAATATAAATTATGTGTATATACTGTATATATAGTATATACACATGCAAATATTTCCTTAAAATATATGCATGTGTGTATGGAAGCTTGTTTGTGCCACTGAATAAAAAAAATAAAATAATTGCGACTTTTTATCTCACAATTGCGAGATATGAAGTCAGAATTGTGAGAAATAAAGTCGCAATTGCTGACAATTCCTCAAAGACTGACTTTTTCCCCTCACAATAGTTTATATCTCGCTATTCTGACTTTATAATATGCAGTTGCGACTTTATATCACGCAATTCTGACTTTATATCTTGCAATTACGACTTTATATCACACAATTCTGACTTTATATCTCGCAATTCTGACTTTATAACACGCAATTGCGACTTTATATCTCGCAATTCTGACTTTATATCTCGCAATTCTGACTTTATATCTCGCAATTCTGACTTTATATCACGCAATTCTGACTTTATCTCGCAATTCTGACTTTATATCACACAATTCTGACTTTATATCTCGCAATT